TATGACACGTCTCGGTCCGTCTTGGACCATTCACAAGTCAGACAGAAGAGGTTAGGTCAGGTTCTTCAGGAAACAGGTCAACTGTTTCCTGATGCTGGTCTTAGTCACATGATGACCCGCTGTTGTAGCTTTTGGTCTCAGTGACAGCGTAGAACTGCATCTCAGTTCTTCACTTCTCTGCACTCAGCACACCTAGTGAATGTAAATATATACACGCATGTATATTGGCAAAAATCGCTGACAAGTAACACAAGATGCAAAACAACCGCAGGGGGAGTTGAATGATAGCTCTAGGCCTTTCGTGTTCAATTGACACATCACCAGGAGCTTGCAAAGTTGCAGAATTGAGTAAGTAACCCTAGCAAATTCGTTCCGAGGGACGCCTTAGCAAGGCGTCCCTCCGAATTTTTTAAGAATTTGCTAAGATTACTTACTCATTTCTGCAACTTTGCATGATCCTGATGTGTTGATTGCAACATGAAAGGCCTAGAGCTACCATTCAACTCCCCCTGTGGTTGCTTTGCGCATATTATATATATATATATATATATATATATATATATATATAATATATATATATATATAAAATATATATATATCATATATATAATTAATATAATATATAATATATATATATTATAATATATAACAGCACCAAGGCTCAGACGAAGACCATCTTAAAAGCATATATCGATTTCTTCATTAACGTTTCTGATCTTTCTCCATCCATCATCAGAATCTAAGAATTTGTTACAATAAAGATAAAGCAAGAGTTTTAAACGTTTAAAATTTAATCTACAACACGAATAAACCCAACTGAGATAATTTAATGTACATTATATGATTTACAAGACTTTAATTTTATTTTATTTGAAAGTATATAATTCTGAAGCTAATTCTATGTTTTAAAGGGGTAGAGGGGTAAGCCAGTGGAAGGCTTCGGTCGGTGACCATAAGCTGCAGTGGCGGGTCATCGTATGACCAAGACCTGCGTCAGGAAACACTTATCCCGTTTCCTTTCTAGTCTTACCTAATATATGTCGTCGAGATATTAAGACCAGTGTCGAGGATGTCCTTAACGATGGTAGTCATCACAGTGTTGGGTTAACACTCCCCAAAACAGAATAATAGCCCCTCGTACAGTCAGTGAACTTTATTCTTAACTAATCAACATTACCAACAGCTTACAATATCAACCTCAAGTCAGCAGGCTTGCCTTAATACCTTACACAGAATAATTATAGGTGAATTTCTCAGACTGTCATTACGGGCCGCCCACTCACGGGCGCGATCCCACTACTGCGCGACACGGGTGCTTTTGGCTGCTGGGTTTCCCCCCTGGCCCGGTTCACACCTCCTTGGACAACCTGGACGCCCCTAGCTTCCTATGGGTGGCCATATTGATGCCGAGCTTAGTGCGGACGCCCACTCAACATGGGGAGTCCCGCACCAGTGATCCCCACCTCAAGCCGTCCACTGGCCCAGGCCTCCGAGTCGCCGGATTACAGGGTTGCGCCACCAACCCCAGCTGTTCTAGGCTGGAATATTGCTGCACACTAACAGCACCTTTCAAGGCAGGTGAAATTGCCGACCTAGAAAATGTACAGAGAACTTTCACGGCGCGCATAACGGAGATAAAACACCTCAATTATTGGGAGCGCTTGAGGTTCCTAAACCTGTATTCCCTGGAACGCAGGAGGGAGAGATACATGATTATATACACCTGGAAAATCCTAGAGGGACTAGTACCGAACTTGCACACGAAAATCACCCACTACGAAAGCAAAAGACTTGGCAGACGATGCACCATCCCCCCAATGAAAAGCAGGGGTGTCACTAGCACGTTAAGAGACCATACAATAAGTGTCAGGGGCCCGAGACTGTTCAACTGCCTCCCAGCACACATAAGGGGGATTACCAACAGACCCCTGGCAGTCTTCAAGCTGGCACTGGACAAGCACCTAAAGTCAGTTCCGGATCAGCCGGGCTGTGGCTCGTATGTTGGTTTGCGTGCAGCCAGCAGCAACAGCCTGGTTGATCAGGCTCTGATCCACCAGGAGGCCTGGTCTCAGACCGGGCCGCGGGGGCGTTGACCCCCGGAACTCTCTCCAGGTAAACTCCAGGTAAAACCTAGTTTACACTCCTAGACACACCACTAATAATAATAATAATAATAATAATAATAATAATAATAATAATAATAATATCTTTATTTACTACTAGTACATGTACAAGGTATACAGTCCATAGCTGACATCAATGACATGCTACCACATAGAGCCGCTTGTTATGCTGAGCATTTCGGGCAAATTAGGGCAGTTTTGTCCCAGGATGCGACCCCCACCAGTCGACTAACACCCAGGTACCCATTTAACTTATGGCTGAACATAGACAATCGGTGTAAGGAAACACGTCCAATATTTCTCTTCCAGGGAATCGAACCCGGACCGTCGCCTTGTGAAGCGAGAGCTTTAGCTACCAGGCCACAGGGCACCGTGGGGCAGCGCTACACCCGCTCGGGTCATATAGCACCTGGGTGTAATGGGAGGTATTCAGGTTTGATTCAAGGAAATGGAGCACTGGTGAAGTTCCTTATATCACTGCCTCCTGGTCAACTAACCTCTCCACTGGTGAACGGGAACATGACTTCATGGATCGACACCATGCCTAACCCTTCTAGGGCAGAGTAGGTGCCTGAGCCAGAGCTTGCAGCTCACAAGACTGTCATTCCCATTAGCCCGCTTGGGGCGGGGATGGCAGACCAGAGAGGCATAGCTTGTAGCTAGGCCTAGGGACACTTGGTCCCAAATTCAAATTCAAAGTTTATTCTCTATAAGGATTACAATGCTGAGTTTACAGGAATTTGGTTATTGTGTGGTTTACATGTAGTAAAATAGTGATTACAGAGTGTACCACTAGAACGCTTAGCATGGCTAGGCATTTCGGGCAGACTTAGTTTTATTCTTAATTGTAAAATATTACAAATTATGAGGTAAGTTGGTATTATGGCTAAGTGACTAAATACTAGTTTGTGAGTTTAGCAATGTGAATGCTTTTGTTTTGGCACAGTACATAGTTTCAGTATTGGAGTATCACAGGATTCATTATTTTAAGATTGAGATTAATATTTCTGTTTATGGTCAAATGAGTCAGTGAGTGTAAGTGTGAACCACCAGGTGGTATTCATGTAGTTAGTTGACGGGGTGTATCAGGGAGATAAGATGTTTTCTAATGGTAGTTTTGAAGGTGATGAATGTGTCTGCAGTTCTAGAGTTCTCAGGTAGGGTATTCCAGATTTTTAGGGCCTTTGACATATATTGAATTTTTGTAAAGGTTTAGTCGGACACGGGGAATGTCGTAGAGATGTTTGTGTCTGGTGTTATGCCTGTGGGTTCTGTCACAACTATCAAGAAAGCGTTTTAGGTCAAGGTTGATATTAGAGTTTAAGGCCCTGTAGATGTAGATTGCACAGTAGTAAGTGTGGATGTACTGAACAGGGAGTAAGTTTAGGTCTATGAAGAGTGGGGGGGGGTGTTGCCAGGGATGGGATTTAGTGATTATTCTTACTGCAGCTTTTTGTTGGGTTATTATTGGCTTTAGGTGTGTTGCTGCAGTTGACCCCCAAGCACAAATAGCATAGGTGAGGTATGGATAAATAAGTGAGTGGTATAGTGTGAGAAGGGCATTTTGCGGCATGTAGTATCGTATCTTGGAGAGGATCCCAACCGTTTTGGATACTTTTTTGGTTATATGCTGGATATGGGTACTGAAATTCAGGTTGTTGTCAAGGTATAAGCCTAGGAATTTTCCCCCATTATTTCTGGTAATTAGAGTGTTGTCAATCTTAATGTTAATTTGTGCATCTCCTGCTCTGCTACCAAACATAATATAGTAGGTTTTGTCAGTGTTAAGCGTAAGTTTATTGGCTGTCATCCAAGTCGATATTTTGATCAGCTCCTCATTCACAATGGTGTTGAGGGTGGCAAGATTAGGAGATGAGGAGGTACTTGTGCCTCCTCCCATGGGAGACTTAGGTCTCAGATACTCCCTCGAGAGGGAGCCAAGGCCGGGCCACCACTTGGAAAAGGCCCGGGCCGGGAAATCACCGGCGAATCTTTAATAATAATGACTTCACGTAGAGGTTATGAGAAAACGGAGAAGGGTAAACTATAAGATTAAGAGTAAACATTACTGTCGCAGACGACCTTGTGTAAATCTTTACCATGAATTATTATTTACCATTACATTAGTTAATGAATGTAATGAACTACAGGAGGAGGATGTGTGGGTGTGCAACAACTATTTAGAATTTAAAAGTACTGATGAAAAAAAATATTTTATTCGATTTATGAAATTGAAAAGCTGGTCACCCAAAATAATTCAGTCAAGGTCACTTCTTTAATAAGTACACCAAGGAAACACGTAAGTGTTTTATGTAAATTTATGTTATTTGTTTTTATTTTACACCAACATTAACCAAGTAACCTAATCTCTGGGTTATTTTCATTGGGGTGATTTAGACTCCTCCCCCAGGATGTGACCCACAACAGGGGACAAAGTAGTATTAATTATTTCAAGGTAATAGCGTATGGAAACATGCCTAACGTTTCCACATGTAGAAATAAAGATATAATTCGTCTTCATTTTTACATGTACAAGGTATACAGTCCTAGCTGACATCAGTGACATACTACTATATAGAAAGCCACTTGTTGTGCAGAGCATTTTGTCCCAGGATGCGACCCTCACCAGTCCACTAACACCCAGGTGCCTATTTAACTGATGGGTGAACATACACAACCTTGTCAGGAAACACGCCTAATGTTTCAACCCTTGCCGGGAATCGAACCCGGACGATCACCGTGTGAAGCGAGAGCTTTTGCCACCATACCATTGGCCACCGTCCATCAGGCCATGGTGGCCCGTGGCCTGTTGGCCGAAGGCGCTACTACATATATGCAAATTAATATTAGTAAATTAATGATATCTGGTGAACTCACCAGAATTACTGATGAAGGAGCAACGTGTGCCCGAGGAAGCGTCCAGGAAGAAACTAGCATACACCAGGTGTGTGTGAGCGGCGGCGGTCATTAAAACACCAGACTTGAGCGTACCAACACTAGCACGGGATTGGTGCTCAGTCTCCACCTCTCCTCGGATTGGATAGTGACTCACTCGTGTCCTTAAAACGAATAAAATCCAAAAGTCAAGCATTAGCTTCGATCACTTGATAAGGTGGAAAGTCCCAGAGGCGATAATGAATAGCTGTAGATATTCAATTCTTATCATGTGTACTTAATATATTAATAACTTTGTTAAGTCCCTCTTCCCTAATTTGGAAAAAAACTTTTCAGTTGTTTGTCTTACATTGCTCATAACGTGTGGAAGTGCACGTCTGGGTCTGTCAGGTTAATCCTTATGGGTGTGGTCAGCAACTGAATAGGTGCCTGTAAAAATACTCCAAATGCTCCTTGTACAGGTATATTATTTAGACTAAGATATTTAATATGAATGACAAGAGACATAAATGTATGCATTTATAAATAATAAATACGAAGGTGATACTGTCGAGAGTAACACAGAAAAGGCGAGTGCAGAGCAAATTGTGACGACGTTTCTCTCTGTGTAAAGCTTGACAAAGCCCTGTACAAAGCTTGATGAGGCTGTGTGTACAGCTTGATAAATCTCTGCAGAGAGACGTTGTCGTAACTAAGGATCACTCCACACCTGTCTCTTGTCTATGAAGACACATGCACAACTTTTCGGTAAAATTGTTTCGTTAGGACACATGTCGCTCACTGGGAGCTTCTTCAAGCTCCCGGTGAGCGAAATGTGGTCTAATAACACGTTCAACGCGCTGCATGTCTGATCAATACAGGTGTCCGTACCATACGTCTCGTGTCGTACAAAAACTGTATTAAGAAAGATAAACTGTCTAATGCTTGTAGTAACACCTTTTATTACAATACTTCCAACTTCACCGTTTCCGTCTTTGATTTACAGTTGGATGTATATTTTTCTAGGTACATTTAGGTGTTGTTTTGTATAGATACGACTCTCTAGAATGTTAGTGGGGTTTTCTTTACGTAAGACGAATGTGTCTTACTGAGTTCCTCTCTCTATTTGTGTATACCTGAATAAACTTACTCTCTCCCCCTCTCTCTCTCTCTCTCTCTCTCTCGATTGTATCAAACTTACTCTCGTGTCTTTCTCTCTTTTAAACGTTAACTGCATTGTCGTATATAGCCTAAAAAAATACCTTAAGACAACTACTTAATATCTAAAACAAATGTGCTGTTATTGTCGCAGTTTGCGTCTGGTAACAGCTGGGTTTAAGACATTTTGGACCTGAGGGACTGAACTAACTTGAATTCTGGTCTTGCGTAGTAAATATGTTGTAGAATGATGACGTTGTTCTTATCTTCCGTGTGAGGTTTTCCAACACCAGTCATGATACATTGCAACTTTATGTATAAATAACCGGAGTCATGGGAAAGGAAACTGTTGTTATATATATATTATATATTTATATATATATATATATATATATATATATATATATATTATAATATATCTATATAAATATTATAAATTAAATATACTAGGTCCTCTCTCTCTCTCTCTCTCTCTCTCTCTCTCTCTCCCTGAGCTTTGTCATACCTCGTCTTAAAGCTATGTATGGTTCCTGCCTCCACTACGTCATTTGCTAGGCTGTGTGTGTGTGTGTGTGTGTGTGTGTGTGTGTGTGTGTGTGGTGTGTGTGTGTGTGTGTGTACACTAGTTAGGTGCGGGGTCGGTCGGTCTGGCCCGAGTCGAGTCCTGTGTGTGTCTGTGCGTGTGTGTGTGTCGTCGTGTGTGATGATTGTCGTTGCATCGTGGTGCTACAAAAATCCATGAAGATTAGTCAGTCAAACCGAGGATGCTCTCATGAATTAGAAAAATTGCTATTTGGAAAACAATTTCACCATTTAAGCCCCGGCTGGCTATCAGTGAAGTTTACGTAAGTTGCCCTTCACATTCCAATTCCGCAGCCATGATGCCCGGATAATGTTGTCAATTATTACACTGATGATGGGTACAATTAGGGAAGACTATGAGATGCATAATTTCCTACACATTGCTTTTGTTTTGAGTTCTTATTGTCACTAGACAATCACAGGAATAATATTTAATGAGTCTGGTTGGTAGTATTAAAGGTGTGTTCAATCCACATGTAGATCACGTGCCAATTTCCAAATGCTCCCAGACAGTGTGTGTGTATGGTGTGTGTGTGTGTGTGGGGCTACCATGGCCTTGCCCAACATTGCATGACGAGGACATCCCATCATGGTGTTGCCAAGCGAGCTGCCTTCTCTCTCTCTCTCTATCCACCTCACCAGAATCACCTCAATAATTTACTTCCTTCCGTAATATGATTTCCCTTTTCATACGCCATGATATCTCTATCGGGAAGAATTAAAGTGGACACGTAGCAACCCTTTCACTCTTATACTGCAGCTGTTCTCTCATCCTGTTTTCTTTCATGCATTTACTTGTATCTTTAAATATCGGCGTAATAATCCAGTATATTCATTGTGTGTGATTCAGAGTAATATAAAAGCAATTCGATGCTTATAAAATAAACCCATTTTCCTGTAACTCCTGACGGCGTTAAAAATGTTAGACAGAGGGAGACATATGTAAGTTAGGCCCTCCGACCAGGCCATGTGATCTGCCGGCCCAGGAACTTTCCACTGACAACGTCGTCACTACCGTCCAGGGGCGGAAGTATGACAACAGAAAACAAGCATTGTGTTGAGTGTATTATATCCACATGTCTGGTTCATCATTTCTCGTTGCTTCCCATGTTGCCTCAACACTAAACTTTATAGATTAGCTGTTCCCGGCCACTGAAAAAGGAAGTGTTTATTTCGTTGCAAAGCTTACAATGTGTGCTTAACACAAAATATTAATTACGAAGGCCTCTAGCATTCCGAGGCATTTCGGGCATTGATGATCATGTTTCTGACCTGACCAAGTTCAGCTCCAATGTCGTCCCCAGAGCCAGTAACATCACTCACAACACTGTGGTACCTAAAGCCAGTAATACCACTCAACACTGTGGTACCTAGAGCCAGAAATACCACTCAATACTGTGGTACCTAGAGCTAGTAATACCACTCAACACTGTGGTACCTAGAGCCAGTAATACTACTCACAGCACAGGTTTCTAGAACCAGTAACACCACTCACAACACTGTTGTTTCCAGAATCAGTAATACCACTCACACTGTAGTTCCTAGAGCCAGTAATACCACTCACAACACTGTAGTACCTAGAGAGAGTGATATCTCTCACAACACTGTGCTTCCTAGAAACAGTAATGCCACACACAACACTGTGGCTCCTAGAGCCAGTAATACCACTCACAACACTGTAGTACCTAGAGAGAGTAATACCTCTCACAACACTGTGGTACCTAAAACCAGTAATACCACACACAACACTGTGCTTCCTAGAAACAGTAATACCACTCACAACACTGTGGTGCCTAGAAACAGTAATACCACTCAAAACAGTATGGTTCCTAGAGCCACTAATACCACTCAAAACGCTGTGGTTCCTAGAGCCAGTAATACCACTCACAACACTGGTTCCTAGAGCCACTAATACCACTCAACACTGTGGTTCCTAGAACCACTAATACCACTCACAACACTGTGGTTCCTAGAGCCCATACCACTCACAACACTGTGGTTCCTAGAAAGAGTAATGTCACTCACAACACTGTGGTTCCTAGAGAGAGTAATACCACTCACAACACTGTGGTTCCTAGAGAGAGTAATACCACTCACAACACCGTGGTACCAAGAACCATATTACCACTCACAACACTGTGGTTCCTAGAGCCACTAATACCACTCACAGCTGTGGTTCCTAGAGTCAGTAATACCACTCACAACACTGTGGTTCCTAGAGCCAGTAATACCACTCACTACACTGTGGTTCCTAGAGCCAGTAATACCACTCACAACACTGTGGTACCTAGAACCAGTAATACCATTCACAACACTGTGGTTCCTAGAGCCAGTAATACCACTCACAACACTGTGGTACCTAGAGCCAGTAATACCACTCACTACACTGTGGTTCCTAGAGCCAGTAATACCACTCACAACACTGTGGTTCCTAGAGCCACTAATACCACTCAACTGTGGTTCCTAGAGCCAGTAATATCACTCAACACTGTGGTTCCTAGAGCCAGTAATACCACTCACAAACTAGAGCAAGTAATACCGCTCGCAACACAGTGGTTCCTAGAGCCAGTAATACCACTCACAACACTGCGGTTCCTAAAACCAGTAATACCACTCACAACACACTGGTAGCTAGAGCCAGTAATGCCACTCACAACACTGTAGTACCTAGAACCAGTAATACCACTCACAACACTGTGGTTCCTAGAGCCAGTAATACCACTGACAACACTGCGGTACCTAGAGCCAATAATACCACTCGCAACACTGTGGTTCCTAGAGCCAGTAATACCACTGACAACACTGTGAAACCTAGAGCCAGTAATACCACTCGCAACACTGTGGTTCCTAGAGTCAGTAATACCACTCACAACACTGTGTTACCTAGAGCCAGTAATACCACTGACAACACTGTGAAACCTAGAGCCAGTAATACCACTCACAACTCTGTGGTTGCTAAAACCAGTAATAACACTCACAACACTGTGGTTCCTAGAGCCAGTAATACCACTCACAACACTGTGGTTCCTAGAACCACTAATACCACTCACAACACTGTGGTTCCTAGAGCCCATACCACTCACAACACTGTGGTTCCTAGAGAGAGTAATGTCACTCACAACTCTGTGGTTCCTAGAGAGAGTAATACCACTCAACACCGTGGTACCAAGAACCAGTAATACCACTCACAACACTGTGGTTCCTAGAGTGATTAATACCACTCACAACACTGTGGTACCTAGAGCCAGTAATACCACTCACTACACTGTGGTTCCTAGAGCCAGTAATACCACTCACAACACTGTGGTTCCTAGAGCCAGTAATACCATTCACAATATTGTGGTTCCTAAAACTAGTAATACCACTCACAACACCGTGGTACCTAGAACCAGTAATACCACTCACAACACTGCGGTTCCTAGAACCAGTAATACCACTCACA